TCATGGATGATGGTTGGACCAATTAGCTTTCAACCATCAAAATCCTTAGTTCGAGACACATGCCCATCTGTGAATAATGACTGAAGTCCTAAGAACCCTCAGCTATTTTCTGAGACGAAGAAATAAATTAAAAAGGGAGTGATTGCTTATGCTGCTGCTGTCAGCTGTCATCAGAGTCCAAACGTTTGTTTGCAGGTTAATTTCTTCCCTCTCTTCTGCTAAACAATGACGTTGGCCTTCACTTGGAGACCAAGTTAAAAACAGCGGACTCTTGACTTGTAACGCTACTGACACTTGGAAGAAAAAAAAAATTATTTACAAGTATTATTGACTCAATGCAATGATGTCTCTCAATATGCCCTCTTCATTACTGTGGCCGTCGTTTACGGAGACAGAAGCCCAATTCGAACAACATGTTGCTTTTTCTTGGGCTGAGAAATTGGAGCCCTTGTTTACCTTTTATAGGATTGGTCATCATGTCCCTTGGAGAACTTAGAGAACTTTGGCTCTCTCTCTCTCTCTCTGTGAATATTCATGTTTTATAACTTTGGAAAATGCTTCAAGTGTAGAGAAATAGTGTGGTGATTTAATGCACCCCCACTAAAGGAGATAACTCAGTGTTCTGTTGTACTTCTGGGTCCCCTTTCATGGATTTGGATACTCTTCAATGTTGTTTTGTTTGTCCAGAGGTTGCTTTCTTAATCATAATTATCTAGACAAAGTATGATTAGCTTCTTGTGTAACCAAGTAACATATTGGAATATAAACCATAACACTTAACTAATCCTCATTACAACTTCAGAGTTAGGGTGTAATGACGGAATCTTATTTTTAATATCGTGTTTGAGCAATCCAAGTTTAATTCCTACTGGCACTTATCTATAAATATGTATATAACCCTAAACCTTTCTATAACGTAGAAGTTTTGGTGTAATGGCAAGTCCTTCGACATATCATATTTCTTGAATTTCACTTATTTTCACTTTTTACCCAAAATAAGTCATATTAATTGTCTACTACATGACAAATGATTGCAATTGAGATAATGGGCTCTCTATCTAATTGCATTGGATTTGATCTTTTGAACGATCATTCTTAACATAATCAACTTATATACTCTATGAGTTGCATTTATGCTGTCAGTTTACATTTAAATGTGTGTAAAATGGCAATCGTCTACTAAATGACAGACGATTATTATTGAGAAAATGGTAGAAGAATACAAATTTCTGTTTCACTATAGGTTCAGTGAATCAAGTAATATTCCGGACAATTGACATTATAAACGTTAAGAGAGGAAGAAATATATTATATATTCTTTCGTTTTACTCTAATTAATATTAAGTAGCTCAAAAACCTCAGTTCCTATAGTACGTGCAAGATGGAGGAGGAGTTTACATTATTAATTTCATTATTAACTCTTCACATTTTTCGTATTTATCTACGAGATCATCTAACATGTGCTGTAGAATTATTATCCATGTTTTATATATCCCAGACGATATTCCTGCAACAATGGGTTGAATACACTGAATAATACACCAAGAAGTGTCATATGACATGTCAAGCACCTTAGTATTCACTTAATTTTTTTGTCCAATTTTTTGAGTAAATATACAGTTATAAGGACAGCAGACATTATTTCATGCGTTGGCTTTGGCTTAGTAGAGTTGCTTATATACTGCAAAGAGAGCTGATATTTACAGTTGCATGCTCATATAGTAATGTTGTAACTCTACAGCAATCCTTCTGCTCTGTAACTCGATCCAAATCACATTCTACAAGAAACTATATATACTAGCTATATACTCAACATTCTATCTTTATAATAAGGCTGAAAGAATCACAAAACCTACATACATACAGGAAATTATATTTGAGGGAGATTTTCAAAATAAATATAATATTGATTGATAACAATTGATGTCTGTATACGCCCACATTCAACAAGTAACAACTGCATGAAAATTGTTCTTATGTGTCTAGAAAAGAAATGTTCTATTATCTTCCCTTTAGGTTTCTACAATTGTACGTAGATCAAAGAAAGGCCACCTAATTAAATCTGTTGCTTATGAACTGAAAATGTAGCAGAAGGTATTATGTTGAGGTTTCATCGAACATTTTTGTATTCCCCTTAAATAATGTAATAAACTTCTCCGAGAGAATCAAAACCTCATAGTTGTATCAAAAACCTAAGTCTGCAAAGGGAAAATGAGTAAATAGTTTAAGTGAAATGACTATATATATGTAGATGCATATATAGAACCCTTTTTTTTGGTCAAGAAGAAGATAATCATAGTGGGCAGCTTACCTAAAATGTCCAATAATATAACCTTTTACCTTTGTCCGCAACGGAACAATCAAACATACTCTTCCATCCACTAACCATTTCTAAACTCTAAACAATTCAACTAGGTACATAAATCATATTTTTACTAAACGAAATAGAATCACAACTAACAATATTAGTGCAAGATAATATCAAAACAAAGATTCAATCCCTAAAGATCAGGAAGACAAATAAGTTAGCAAATTATCCCGACATAGCTTCACTAATCGTCAATGATAAACATCTAAGAGTACCCAAGTCTAAGCTCTAAATCCAAACCCTCTTCAACCTCCACATCGAACCCTGATGCCTCTCTCTTGCTCCTTGCCATAACAATCTTTTCATCTCCCATGAAGCATATGGCCTTCACTTCTCTTGTATTCTTCAGCTCATCGCATCTCAAACGAAAAGGCGAAGGCACAATAGTAGCTGATGAAGCCTTAGTTGTCATTGCATCGCAACGAGTGCGAGGAGACAATAGAGAAGGGAATGTATAAGTCATTGGCCTGATCTTGTTTGCACTAGCACTAGTACAAATTGGTGGTGGTGGTGGTGGTGAAAAATTAAGGTTTGGCAAAGGATTAGGGCTAGGGTAAGAGTTAGGGTTTGGGCTAGGGTTAGGGTTAGAAAGAGGGGGATCCAACAAAGGAGGAGATTGTCTAAGCCTGGCTCTATCCCTTCTATGCACATTCATGTGGCCCCCAAGAGCCTGAGCTGACTTAAACTCCCTCTTGCAGAAGCTACAAGTGTAGGATCGTGGTGGCCAAGAGAACCCACCACTAAAAGCTGGCTGATCTCTGAAACTTCTCCCATATCTCTCCATAGATTTTTCCTCAACTAAAAAAAAGAAAATTCCCTCTCACTCTCTCTATGTTATAAAGACTTGAAGACTCTCTCTCTCTCTCTTTGATATGATGTTTATTATTACAGCTGACCACAGGAGTAATGGGAGGGCAGGGGTGCCCATCAAATTGCAACCCCAAAACTGAAAATACCATTGGGGTGCACCCTGCAAGTGTCTGTTGCCAAAAACGGAAACCCCCTTGGCCAATGTGGCACCCTGGCTATACTACTAATTATACCCTTTTCCATTTTTATCACCACCCCATGTTCCCAACTCTTTCATCACTTTAACTTGCCCTTGCACGTGAGAGGAATGGGCACTGTAATAGGGCTAAGCTAGAGCTACATATTAATAGGCCACTTTGAGATTGAGAGCATGCTTAGATTTTCTTTGTTTGGTTATAAATGAGCTAAGAGTATCAGAGATTTTAGTACGAATTTACAATCAAATGAATAACATTATAACCTCGACTCTCATTTCATGTTGAGTTAAGTGTCATGAGAATAGCTTTTAAGATGACATCAAATCAACCCCTATCCAGAGTTAAGCCCAAGCAAAGACTCAGATCAAGAAATAGACACAGACTAGAGACTGAGATTTAGAACCAGGAGAAAATATCTGTTTAATGCGCGCGGACCACCAAACATGTAGTGAGAAAAGAGTCTTTGAATCAGCGTAAAATATCAAAGAGTTAAAGATTCGCTAGCAGAAAATAGAACATTTTTTTGGGTCAATGAATTAAAGGTTTATTCATCTTCCAAGTGTGTAAAAGAGCTGTACATAAAAAAACCAGGATTAATATAACCTGGTAAACAAGAAGCTGAAATTTTATAGTTACAACATCATTATCACTTCCTTCATATGTGCAGGAAAATCTTCATTCAAAATTTTTAGAAAAGATGGAGAGTTTGATAGCACGGAAGAGAGGATCAAAACCCCTTGCTTTCCCCTGAAAAGTTCTTGCATTCCAATTACTTGGGCGGAAACAACTTGGGAGAGCCTGAATTATCCCAAGCATTCTATCATACTTTAGCTAGTCTATCACTCCAGGCTTCTCACTTAGGAAAGGTTGTGTCGTTTTGGAATTCTTAGTACTAACTGTTGTGTTTTGTGTTCTAGACAACCGAAAAATTACAAGCATTTGTTCTTTGAATGTCAGTACTCGACTGATGTATGGAACAATGTAATGGATTGGATGGGATTTACAAGGAGAACCTGTGATTGGGATCAACTCAGTAGATGGTGTTAGACCATAGGGGGGTGATTAGGGTCTTATGCTAATCTAATCCCGATTAAATTCCAATTAAAATTATATTGATTAATTTGTTCTTGCAAGAATGATATGAGATAGATATGAACAAGAATGATATAAAAAGTCACAAATAAAATATACGCTAAGCAAAACACAAACACACGATATGTTTACGAGGTTCGGTCACCACGACCTACGTCCCCGCTCCTCACCTCGAGCAAATCTCCACTATCACAATTCGGTTTGGAGCCGAAACTTCTACACACTCGGTTTACAAGTTTATCGAAAACTCTCACACAACAAATACTATGCAATCACATTTTACACACTAAGTGTAGGAACCTAGCCCGTGTCCTCTTCCTCAAGTGCTCGGATGCAACCTCTCCCTAGGTTCGTCAACCGACGCCACTCCTATTGGATTCGACCCCGTCTCTCGTCTCACACTTCTCTCGATGTACAAGTATATTACAAGTGATACTCACAAATAAAGGTTAAATACAATGGTTTGTTCTCAACAACAAATGAGAACGCAATGAAGTTCACACTCACTAAATCACACACCACTACCCATAATATATAGTATGGAATATTAAGCTTAATACAGTGTGTGTGATAACAGTGGATAAAAATATGTAACTCAATAAATATAGCTAAGATATGAAAATAAAATTATAAGCTATATGAAAAGATGAGTTAGGAAAACTTCTCAATAAACAAGAAAAATAGTAGAGCATGATGAGGATAGGATCCTCAGTTGAAGTGAAAGCCTCTTCTTGTTATAGAAAACTTCTTTTGAAATAGATAATCAGAATCAGTTTAATCAGCTCTTTAAACGCACTTAAACTTTTGTTAAAACATCACTGTAAAAACAAAAATTGATCTCTTGAAAGAGAACAGCAATGGGGTATTTATACTCACTCAAAATATCAGCCAAAACTAACTTGAAATAACCAAAATAACCTCATAGATTTAAATCAGAATATAGCCATTAAGAAAGCAATGAAGAGTTCGGCGGTCGACCGTAGAAATCTCGCGATCGACCGCGAAGCACATAAACACTGAAAAACAACTTTGAAAAGCTGGCGGTCGACCGTGACGATCGACCGCAAAAGTTTTTGGATGGAGCCACGATCGATCATCACGGTCGACCGCGAACAATAAAAAGCCATAGTAAAAAATTAAACTACTGACGGTCGACCGCAAACTGATACATGGTAATAAACAGGTTTTGGGCTAATTTTAAAAATACGTTAAAAATATTAAATCAATTCCAAAAACAGTAAAACTTTGGGAAAAGTTTCTAAATGATAAAATAAACATGTTTGAAAAGAAATTTTTAGAAATGCAATTTTTGTTTGTGAAAAATCACTGTTTTTGAAAAGTGTTCATAAAACCTGTTTTTCGCGAACATGAAAATTGAGATATGACTTGTAAACACGTATATATATATACATATATATATATATATATATACGTATATATATATACATATATATATATATATATATATATGAGGAATATGTGTATGCTTGGTACCAAGCACAAAATTTGTGCTTGGTAGTGAGGTGGCAAATAAAGTATGAATGAGCTGTAAACATGAAATAAAAATTATTGTGACAAAGTTTGATGAAAAATCATTTATATGATAGAAAACGTCAAATCTGTGTTGTGTTCACATATTGAGCTTAAATATAAACATACAATATATGTAAGCAAACTACTCTTATACCTAGGAGAATGCACACACATGAACTTGAATCTTTAACTCTTGATTGTCGTGTGTTGAATTACCTGAAAAGAGAAAAACCAACCAACGGAAACTAGAAAACATATTAGCTATAAATTGTTTTGATAAATCATCATCAAAACTATAGGGCCAACAATCTTCCCTTTTTTGATGATGGAAAACAATTTATTTAATGATATGAAGTTCATATTAAGATACCAAATAAGCCAACCATATGAAACATGTAGAAAACAATTTATTTAATGATATGAAGTTCATATTAAGATACCAAATAAGCCAACCATATGAAACATGTAGTGACAACATAAAAACCAAATCATCATTACATATTAAGATACCAAATAAGCCAACCATATGAAACATGTAGTGACAACATAAAAACCAAATCATCATTACAGTTTCATCGACAACTAAACCACTAAACTAAACATCAATATCAATATGAGTTTTTCTTCCCCTTTGACAACATCAAAAGGGGAAATGAAATATAGAGAATAGGAGCAACGCTCCCTTGCATACAAGCATAGATAATAAACAAATGTATGGTCAAAGCTCCCCCTGTCAATTTGCATAAATGACATATAAAGATCATATATAGGAGCTAAGCAACCATATCCATTCATACACAACTATAAACATTTGAAATTTAAAACCAAACCAATCACAAAGCATCATTAACAACACATTGTTCAGAGGAACTAAAAAACCAAAAAAAATCATAAGCTAACATAACCACAATTTGTTCCACAATACCACATAGTTTTTCACACAAACCATAGAGTTATTACAACTCAAAATAAAAAATAAGTATCAATTTTTCGTTCACCAAAACATAAACATAAGCATAAACCCAATAATCATTGAGAATCAATCACCACCAACGTCAGAAGTAGATCCAGAGCCAGATCCCGAACCAGAAGCAGATTCTTCATCAGAGCCCTCTCCTTAACCAGAGTCAGAACTGGAAGAGGGATACGGAATCCCAAGAGACTGACACTGATAGCTAAGAATAGTCATAATGTCCTTCTGAATACTTGAGACCTGAGTCTCAAGACGATCCAGTCGAGCACAAACATCAGAAGTGGAGATGGTGGAGGCTCTAGACCAAGAACGGGAAGATGATGGCTTAGTGGGATCAGATAAGGAGTCTGAAAGTTGCATACATGAGAGAGAAACTCTATCAAAGTATTCCTTACTCGGATCAACTTTGGGTTCATTTGACAGAGCAACACTGAAGTGTTGGAGAATAAGGGTGATGAAGCAACCAAAGGGAAGAAACTTGTAATGCTTGCATGCCATGTGTTGGTCTTCTTGTTTTGATGATGTTTAACAAACAATTTACTTCTAATGTTGTTTGTCTAGTGTTTGTATTTTCGTATTTATTCTAGGCAAACAACGAGTTGGAGGATGGATGAAATATAGCTTCAACGATCATATCCAATGGAGGTTGGCGGAATAGTAGAGTGAAGCAATGTACATTCAAGTTAAAGATACAAGTTCAAGCTTCTTCCGCAAGTATACCAAGTTGAGCTACAATAAAGATCAAGATCAAGCTTGGGTATATTTAGTTTAGATTTATATTATGTGTGTTAAGTACTCTAAGCTTAATTTTCTATACACACACATGTATTGGTTTCCATGTATATATATAGTTATATATATACATATATGTTTTGGTTTGATAGTTTTTAAGTTTTACTATGAAACAATTGAATACAATTAGAAAACATATTTTTGTTTCATACTTATATGCATTTATATGACTTTATCAATATCAATTTTATTTAGTTCAATGAAATCATGTTTTAATGCATTATATGTGTATTTTGATAAAATACTACATTCATTGTTTATAGACTTCATAACAATAGTTTACATCTTTCTTTAAGTCTACAAAATCATTTTGTATTGTTTTAAAACATGGTTAAGCTAAAACTCATATGTTCACATTTTTATGTTTTGGAGTATTTTGTAAAATGATGATATTTCTCATTTAGG